GCTTTCTGATTTTTTCTGATTTTGACGATTTTTATTTTAATTGTCCTGTACGAGTTGAGAATCTGATCTGACGCCACAACGAAGTTTCGAAGCTCAGTCATGTTTAGTTGCCTCTTTTGTATTTAATCTTTAGTGGATTTTTCCTACATCTCTCTGCATCGACTAGTTGATTAATGGTGTGTCATAGTAAGCAAAAGCATTAGTTTGCGAGTAAAATGTGTAGTTCTTTAAGAAAGAAAATGTCGATATTGTAATATAATTATTTATAATTTCTACTTTCTAATTCCTCATTTTGAGTAACCTAGCATGTCATTTATTCTATTTACTAATAGCTATAGCTCCAGTTGAGGCAGTGTTCTTTTCTAGAAACATGCACGTTAAACTCAAAACGAAAAGTTTTTGTTCAGTCTTTTGAAATATATTTGATTTTTGTTTTAGTAAATGTTAGTTCTGTCTCTATGTTATTAATTTTTGTAGTTTGAAGTAACAAAATCCATAAAAGTAGGTTTTTAACTACTCTAGAACAACGAGAAAATGCCGAAATCAGAAGTGGAGGATAATTAATTATTTTGTTGAAGCTCTCGTCTCTGTAATGAAGTGAATACAGGAATCAATTGGTTTGAAACTCTTGGCTTCACTATTAAATTGCTAACAAGTTGACTTTATCTGTGCAATTATTTCTATAGATATCATCTCTTCCAGCCATGGCTGGCCAAAAACAACGAACCAAAGAGTTGTAATAACGGGCAGAGCGACATTCTATTTTAATGGTTGCTTAGTTTCGACTTTCAAGATTGTGACTAGTTCTTTCTAGTACGCAACAGTAAACATATTGAATTCGAAAAATAGGTTCTATATTAGACCAATCCATGCCAGGAGTACTGAGTAAAAATCGACGGCTTATTTCGGTTATTGTCATAACCCTCGATTGACCGTGGTTATTTTCTTTGTTCCCACGATTTTCCATTGTAAAAACCCACGGTTAACCTCTCAGTGAATCAGATCACTTAGTGATCAGCTGACAATTTATCGATTACTAATCCGGTTAACTAGGAGCTTGACTGAGATTAACCGTCGAATTGTACCCTGGAAAATCGTGAGAACAAAGAAAATAACCGTGGCTAGTCGTCGGTTACGGAAATAATCGAAACAGATCCGCATTTTTCGACCGATCCGAATGATATAGGAAACATCAGTGCTAATATTTCACGTTGAACACACTTTCTGATTTTCTTCTGATTTCGCTGAAAATTTTTTCTGCCAATTTTCTGATTTTTGAATTTTTTTTTCTGATTTTGAAATTTTCCATCTGGCCACCCTGACTCGGGATGACCAATGTGATACGCGTGGAAAATTAACTAATGGTGTTGAATGTATTGATCCAAAATGTCAAATTTGTCATAGTACGCTCACAAATTTGAAAATCCGAATATTTGTTTCATGTCGATTAGGAAAATTCTAAGAATGAAAGAATATTGTCAATTTACACATGATTAGAATTTTTTTACCAAGTTATGATTAATTCTTTTCGTCTAACTTCTCGGAATTGGTCAGTCTATAATCAATTGACATAGAAAATATCGACTACGTGTTCCTATATAAACACAAGTAACACGTTGAGAAAACATATCACAAAGATAAATGGAACGATGTAGTAAGTATACTATTCAATAAATGAACCAACATCCTAGTCCTAAATAATTTAGGCAAGACGTAGTATAGAGGAGGAAGGCGTCTAAGTTCGACCATACTGTTTCTTACATACATGATGACATTCATAGCCACTCATCCATGGTGACTACTCTAGACATGAGTAGTACCATGTCTAGACTCCTACAGAGATAATCCGCCCCACTCTGCTGCATTTCGGATTATTAAATATTTAAATTTGTGAACTCAATGGAAGAAAAAGACAAGACCACATGCTATGGTTTCTTTAGTTCTATTTTGTTAGTCGGATAGATTTTCATCAGAAAAATCACAACTAGATACAGATTCTGTATGTTTGAAACGAACACTTTCAACAATTGTTTTGAATAACACCAAAAGTCGATCAGCTTTACCTTTTGATCATTCTAGATAAAATAATAATAAATTTCAAAAAATACAAATCTGTTCGAACTATTTTAAACATTAATGTGGTTAATCTTTTTCTTGGTCGTTCTAATTTATCAACAGTTAATTTAGTAAGTTCACTAAGTTGAAGTATATCAAGTACAACGATATCAGTAATATCTGTTTTAGTTAAATAATCAATAGGTGAAAAGAATTCTAGCACAATCGAAATGCTAGATTTCCCATGCCTATAATAACAGCTTGATCTGTTGTACAGTGAAGATATACTCGAAATTGAGCATTTTCTGGCACACTTGTTTGAAAGATTTTTTTTTTAAACAATGAATTTTTAAAAAAATTTGTTTTTCATTTTACTATTATGCCATCCAACAAAGTCCTTAACAGAAAAAAACCTTTTCTTATGGCGTCTCACCAGGAATATTTAAACTACGTTCAACAGATGAACTATAGACAAATAATATGATAAAATTCTTGTAGTTCTTTCACATGTTCATGTTCCGACTATTTTGGTAAATATTTGTATAACATTTTTTACTTGAAGATGATCAGGTGCAGCACCATCATATCGATCAAGATTGAAAAACTAAAGATGATTTTGTAATAATATCAATTGTTCCCAGTTAGAGTTGGAACCAGTCCGGATAGGACCGGATTTTTGTCAGTTCATCATTACAGAATTGTTGTTTGCACTCAAGAATTTTCTCTAAAGAAGACGTGGGGCAGTGACATTGGTGCAAGTGAGAGCATATGCAGCGTTTTGATCTTAATGACAGTTACTTTTGATTGTAATGAAATTGCAGTATTAATTGGAGACCGGTAAAGTAAAAAAATGAAGAAAAATCAGTGTTCTGATTTGTACGTCCTTCTGGTGTCTCTATTACCGATTGTAAACAGTGTTGGTGGTTTTCAAAGAGGCTTACATCAGCAAGATGTGGTCCATTTCAGTTGTGAAAGACTCAATAGATATCTTGTCTTTGAATTGACTATAAACGATTGATTGTTTTCTTTATATCTCTATCGATTTTCTTTCTCGTGTATCATTCAATTCAACCTAGATCAAATAATTTATTTTCTTGTTCTACTTATGCAGCTGACTGGATCAAGAAAAATAAATATTTACATTTTTTTATGTTAGATTTGTTATGAACTTGCGTTTTTTTCTTTTTTGAAATAAAGATGAAAAAACAGATTTGATCTGAATAGCTAATTTATATCTATATCTGGCTCGAAAAGTCGACGCTAATTCCTTTTCATCACCATTTTACGTGAACAGGTACTTTTATAATCGGTTATTTTTGCCGGATTTTGGTCGGCCAGAAAAAACTATCCGATTCCAACTCTGTTCCCGGCATTGTGTGACGAAGTGTAAGTAAATTTTGTGTTAAATAAAAACCAGATGGACTACTGCCTACGATACAAATGTGTATGGATGGTGAAGGTAATGTAGAATTGTTTGGAACTATTGGAAGTAATCATCGAATAAAGCAAAGTACAAAACAACGTCGGATAACATGAGTGAACATTGACAAGATATTTAAGATACGTCTACAATAAATTCTATAAAAAAATTCCAATGTCTTGTAAACATGCTTTTTTTAAGGTTAAATATAAATATTGATAATCAAAACTCATGATTCTCTTTTATAATTTCCGAGATAGGAAAAAAAGACTTCTTGAATATTTAAATTCAAAGACAAATGAATATAAAGTCTAGAAACTATCAAAGTTTTAAGAATGATTTTTTTATTCGTTCTAAACTTACAAAATTAGTTATGAGTAGAAATTAAAGTTTTGCATTTAACTCGTTAGAAGAATTTGTATGAAATGAAAAAAGTTTAAACATTTGAATTTTATTCTTTTGTTAATCTTCAATCATATTTACGAACATCTTATCTATAATAAATAACCAAACATCATGTTGAACATGTTTTTTTCACATTGAATATACAACAATAGAGAAAAAAAGAGTAATTCTATTCTGGAGTTTTTTATTCTTTAATTTTACTCATAGGTCACTCGCTTGTATTTAATTGTGAATTAGATGGTGTACATTCTTCTTTTTCTTTAAAACAAATACGTAAAAGATTAGTATCTCCATCAGCAATTGTGACAGTTTTATTATTTATTGTTGAAAGAAATATTAAAGTTTGTAGTTGTTCTAGTTGGTATTCATGGTTGAAAACAATCATGACAATTAGGAAATACTGTATCAAAACGAACACATTGACAGCAATTAACTAGACAATAAGATGAATAAAGAGACACATCATTAAAAAATGATTTTTCAAATATAACAAACAAGTACATATATTCAAGTTCATTGTACTCTAGTGTTTAATTAAGAATAGAAATTTAAATTTTATGATAAAAAATTGAGATATAAGCTTTTATTTGTAATTAGATCAGATTCAATAATAGTCCGGTAGTATCTATTCAGATGCAGATGAAATAAATTTTTAAATGCAATATTATGCAAACGATATAATAAAACTATTTTAACAAAATATGCATTTATTGGTAATACTTCGAATTAGGCGTTCTTACTGGTTAAGAATTCATTCGCACGAATCTTTGGTATAGATAAAGTAATAAATGTATTTGTTTGTTAAATACGTGCTCAATCATTTGCTGGTTCGCAAATTATATCTGTTTGAGAATATCTAGTGACTTTACATGAAACGTATGAAACATAACCAATAGCAATATTGATTAGTGGTGAAATTCAAAAAGACAAGAAAAAAAATTTATGATTAAATATTTTTTACAAAAAGAATATTTTACATGAAACGTATAATCAATTGAACCAAAAACATTCACAACTATTAATTCATAAGTATCTGTATTCTTTGCTATAGCTTTATTAATTATTAATCTAATTGTATATATAATTATTCAAACATGACCATTATATTTTACTATGCTTATCATCTAAATTCAGATGTTGGATCATGTTCAACACGACCAGTCAATATAACAGATCGCACATTAATGATTGTCATAAGTTCAAGTTCTTGAATAAATTTTGATTTTTCGTGAATAATTAATTCTCGTATTTTAGTTTCTTTAGTAGAATTCGATAGTTCACCAAGGTCAGTCAAATTTCGAGCTCGAATATGACATTTATATTTATGTCCTGTATGTAATAAATATATCTTTGTTGCTGTGTCTTCAATTGGTTCAGTTAACGTCTTCTAGGACCACAAAAAACAAACAAAGGTAAGATAATAGGAAAAAAAAAGTTTTTTTAACTAATATGGAATTTATACTTTCGAGTAGTTTGTCGTTCTATTACATAGCCTGTTATTGATGGTTGCTAATTTAACTCAATTGATTCATTATCAATCGCATTTATAGTTAAATGAATAAGTGCACCTGAGTTATTTTTTGTGAAAAATCATATAAGATTCGAAATAGATTTTTGGCAACAATAATTCTTGATGGATCTTTTGGTTCTGATTGATCAACTTGATTACAAGCAATTATTCGACACTCATATTCATTTCCTTCAATAAGTTCTTCAGCTTTTATTTAATTTATATCTGATAAAATGATTTGTTTTATTACTTTTGACCAATGTGAATCTTCTTGTAAACGACATTCAATAAAATAACCTGTTAATGGTGTCCATTGTATCTGACATGTTGTTGTTTTGTATTGTCTAAGTATAAGACATCGGAAATTTTCAAGACTAGATAACGTTAAGTCATTTTTTATTTGTAGATCAAAGTTTAAAAGTTGAATTTCATTTCATAATTCGAGTTCCAAAAGAAGGTTTTAATTAATAAATTGAGTTTTGATTTTCTTGAACATTATTTTCTGATGTTTAAGAAAATTTGCTAAGCAGACAAGAATTCCTCAAAACATTTTAAAACCCTCTAATTGTAGTTGTTATTTGACTGTTTTCATATCCACTCAGAAAATACCAAAACCAGATATTTGTATCATAAAAAGTGAGTAAAGACGCTTAAAAAGACAAATTTTGCATCTGAGAAACATACAAACATTTTTTTTTCAGAAATACTCTGTTTTCCAGATGCAAGAGTTATCTTTTCAATTGTCTTTAATCACTGATGAACTCTAAATAAGTATTGTTTCAATAGTTTCACATGGTTCTGATTGCCAATATTTATTTTCTGCACAAACACGAAAACGATAGTTAGCACTATGAATTGATTTCTTAACAATTGTTTGTCTTTCTTCAATACTCATTAGATAAATTTCATTCGATAATGCAGCTGGTTGTTGTTCACATTTTTCAATACAATAACTAATTAATATTGAATCACCATCATTATCAGGTTATTTCCATATTAATTCACATTGACCAGTATTCAATAATTTACAATTAAAGTTTTTTGGTTTACTTGATCTATCAAATATTTCAATAGTATCATTTCTTCGGATCTTGTTCATCATCATTTATAAGTGTTATTTCCTATAGATCAGAATCATTTCGACATGTAGTATCAATTGACATTAGTATATATTGAGTGTATGGTAAGAATTGAGAAGAGCTGATTGTGTGTCATTATTGGTATGATTCAATAAGTTTTTAAAAAATTAGCTCGATTCGAAAAAAAAACACAAACCGGTTCTGTTCTTAACAATCAACGAAATTAAAATTTAATGCATTGTATTAACATCCTCAACACACCTAACAATGAAAACTGTTCATGTTAACCATAGAAACAATGAATATTAATATTAGGAAAATGTCCACTATATACATTTTATAAGTCGTTGTATATATGACATTTCATTTATTTTCGGTACAGTTGTTATTCATTAGACGATTAATATAGATAGATATAGAGACTATCGATGTTTTCAGAAATCAATTGAATTGAACAGTTGTAATGAAGAAAGACTCATAGAAATTTTACCACAATTTTTACACGTATTTCTTTGTAGATATAAGCGATTACAAAAGGAAATAAATAATTCAAATCAAATTCAAATATATAAGAACTCACTACATAAAAATCATCAATCCTTTATTGACACTTAGATTCATTCTTATTCTCATTACGTTTCACTTTGAATAATGTACAATAAAATTAAATCACAAAAATAACTACAATGCTGTTGGATATATCAGCAGACATCAATGCAACGATTTTCATCTTGTTTATAGTTCTATATTAATCTAAGTAGTTTATTTCTGACTGCGATTTTCTGAGATATTTTGTCTAGCAGCAAGTGTCTTCATATGAATCTTTGCCACAACCAGAATTAAACTGTCAGAAATTTCCATGAGACTGAAGAAACTCTACAGAAAGATCCACTCCCTAATGGGAGGCACTGTTCCAGAATGGGTGAAGAGATACCCTTCCGGATAAAATACTGAATTGCAAAAGAGTTTCTTCATTGTTCTAGTAATAAAGTGAAAAAAAGTCTAATAACTAATGTGTTTTTGATTTTTTTTCTATAATATTAAATCTCTAGCTCAAATTCAGATAATGATATTTATAGGCAGTGAAGTTTTCTATCTAATGAATCCTATACTACAATTTCATAGATGAATTATAATGGCAAGATTTCTCGAAATTCGGACCTGGTAGTTTCTAGATCTGAGAAGACTTTTTTGGAGCTATGTTTTAACAATACTTTCGTAAAGAGCATACAATACTGAAAAAATATGAGGAGTCACCACATTTTCTGCAAACTTCTCTTAAAAAGTTTCAATTTTTTGACGGTTTTCGGTTATCTCTTATTTTATTCAAAATTTTGTTCTTTCTACGATAGAATTGTTAAAGAATAACTTACAAAGTTTTCTCAAACATGAAAACTACCGTGCCCAGTGTTTTAGAAATTTTGCCATCATAGTTCATCTATGAAATCTTGGTATAGAATGTATTAAATAGAAAACTGCATTGTCTATTAAAATCATTATCTGAATTTCAGCTAGATGTTTAGTATTATAGAAAAAAATCAAAAATACGTTAGTTATTAAACTTTTTCCGTTCACTTACTGCTGAATGTTCATTAAATTTTAGTTATCAGGTAAACTTTGATCAAAATGTTTTCATTTATTAAATGATATATGAATTAAAGTAGCATGATTTAAGTATGTTTTTTTCATCAATTACATAAACATTTATTTGTATTTTATATTATATTGAATTAGAACTATTAGAAAAATATCTTGAAATAAATTTTCTTTATTATTAATTGCATCAAAATAATAAATAGTTTCGGAAAGTTTTGCTTTAAAATAGAAATCTTTGAAGATGTTTTTTTTCTAACTTAATAAAATTTTTCGATAAGCATTTATATTTAACAAATAGTTTTATGATGAAGTAAAATTTTCTTTTGATATTAATTTAAATTTGCGCGATTTTTCAATTAATATGATCTTAATTGTAATGATTGATTAAATAAATCAACAATTTCAAATTAAAACATTTTCAATCGTAAATGAATATTTGATGAGTTTTAAGAAATAAAATATGAATATGAATGAAGTTTTTGTATAAACTATTTGTTGAGATAAATCTATAATCGATAGAAAAATTCAATAAATGACTTTGAAAATAAAATCTTTTATGAATTACAGTAACACTTCAATATTTCTTAAATATAAATTATCACTAACAACGATATTTAATTGAAAAATAATCTTTTTTTTTTTAATTTTCTTATTAAATAAAACTATTCAATTAGTTTGATTGATTGAAAAAAAAGAATTCAGTCATCCAAACGTAATTAGTCGGAATCAAAAATAATTAACCGAAGTCAGAATTTTATACTCTTTTCGAATATGTGATTCAGAATATTTCTCTGACTTAGGATTGATTAGGTATGAGCAAAATGTTTGTTCATCTTTCATCTGCAAATAGCATCTAATAAAAACCAAAAGTAGTTCGTTAGAAACAGTCTTACCTATTCTTCTCTAATATGTATTCAGAACAGAGTAAGATGTAAAAGTCTTTGTCTTCCAGTGTTTCAACTATGTTTCTTAGAGTGAATACGAGAAATATGAACACTAATCATATTTATAAATAAAGAATAGGACAAGGTAAAAAAGTTCTACAATTAATATATATGATTCTCTTCTCCAACAAGTCAATAAAAGCTAACCGTCATAATTTTATCGATTTTATCACATGATTTAGAATGATCAAGGTGGTTTTGTAGCAATTCGCGCATAGAAATAGATTCGGTTCATCAAGATTTGATGGTTTCCGGTTTTGAACATAACATTGAAAGATCGATCAGAGAATCATTTCAAATATCTCCTTGAATAAGAATTATTTTATTGCACGAGTTCTATGTTTGAAAGTTCTGTCTTGTTTCAATACTGTAGATAGGCAGAGTTACCTTCTAAAGTTTCGAATAAGGTGACCTGCAATAGTTTGAATGTAGTAACGGTCGTTGATATCATCCTGAACGAATACCAGCCGACTAGAGTCATGACATTTAAGTCGCCCCATAACATGATTTTTTTCTCTGTTCTTCGGAAATCGCTTGATGTCGACTCTTGAATTCTTTGGATATCGGCAAATCGTCTTTCTGAATAACTCGTGAGAAGTCATCTCGTTCTTTCATTGAACTTAATCTCCAAGAGCGTTATACTCAACGGCAGTGACATTACAAGGTCGACCATTACGATACTTGTGCTAAACTGTGCCATATTTTCTTTTATCTAGGCGATAATGTATTCGATAGTTCGATGGATGATCTCTTTCAGACGAGCAATTGTGACACAAGATCAATTGCTGCTCTTCTAGTATTGTAAAATAGTTTATCGCTGGACTTTCAGCGAAGTAGGATGTTGTTGTCGAGACACTTTCTCTCAAAGCACGAGTGTTTATGACGATGTATGGTTTGCATAGTTACTTATCGACTTCCCCTCATCTTCTACAAAGTTCTCAAAAAATTGCTTATGCGAGGACAAAGTCTTTTGAATCTTAATGTACCTCTTTGGCTTAAGGCTACTTAGCGTCTATTCATTGCTTGTATAGGTTTTATTTTGAAGCACTTCTAAATTGACAATTAGTCGAGCATTCAGTTCGCTATAGAACCATCTATTACAATAGTCTTGAACTCAAATGAATCAAAGGACTACTTGGTTTGTAATAGAAAACTTGCTGATACAAATGTCTTTCATGTTTTGCTTTTCGACATTGTCAAACATTTGCTTTATTTCTAAATAATTATAAGTCAGAGAAATATATTCTGATTACATATTTGAAAAGAGTCCAAAATTCTGATTGTAGTTAACTACTTTTGATTCTCAATAATTACGTTTAGATGACTAAAAAATGAATAAATATTTTGTGTCAAGACTTTTGATTATGCTGATAATTTTCTAATAAATTTATCAGAACATGATTTTGATAAATTTTAATGATAGATAAAGAAAATATCGACGATGATTATTTTATGATCATTGATTGTTAATTCAAACAGTAATAATTTGTTCAATTGATTTTATATGAATTTGAGATGAATAAAATTAATCTATAAAATAATTACGGACAAAGAACTTGTCCAGTTATTGAAATTATTTCGAAAAGATTTAGATTATGATCTTCAAATGAATATTGAAGATTTTCTTTGTAAAATTTGATTGAAATATAACGGAACCAGATATATGATTATTTCTATTGAATATATTTAAGAAAAATGGGCCGAAAAATCTTCCCAATTATAAAATTGATTTCTCAATATCAGATAAAATTTCAAGTATACGATATTCAACATTAGATGTTTAAATTATCCTACAAAGCTTAATACAAAGATAATATCGAATGAACACTATTAAAGTCCGAAAGTTAAGAATATTCCGTCAAATACTTAATTGGAGTAGAGATAAGAGACTGTTTACTGACATATACAATGTGATAAAATCGAATCATAAATGATCTCTTCGGAATGAGTGTCGTTTTTTAAAGATTTTATATAATTTAGTATTACGGTCTTTATCACCCTGAGATTCTAATAAAAAATCAATTCGATATTCTCTTCTACTATCAGCCGGTTCTGTATAAATTCATTACGTTTATTTCGTATTGTATGATATCAAAAATTTATAAAATAAGTGCAAAAAAGTTCTTTCAATGTCAAGAGACACCAGTTTCTGATCTATATCAACAACAGTCAGACTCTATTTTATGAAAGATGATATAAAGGCAGTGTTGAAGTAGAGAGAAGAGAAATTAGGACTTTCTTCTCCACATTTATAACCAGGCGCGCGCTAGAGATGTCTCAACCACTGTTCTCTAGAAGGCTTTGGGTCTCTTCTAGAAGCATTGCCAGTGAAGCATCACAAATACTTTAGCGATACTGTTTTTCTTGTCTTCTGTAGATCGTTGTAGATATAAGCACGAAACTGAAATCTACTATCCGATTAGTATGGAAAACGATTGAATTTAATACATATGTCTTGTGACCTCCATTTCAAACTTCTTGTAATTTATTATGATTAGCATCTTTCATCATGGGCATACCTTATCAGTACATTCGAATTGACAAAGTGAATCCTATGTTGCAGAATTCTCTAATTTATAATATATGCAGGTCTGCATTGTGTTTGAAATTTTCATCTTGTATGTATTATGTTAATAACCTTTATTATCATAACAAGTAACGTTCATCGGATTCCGATTCACTCATCCCTAGACTAAAAGGCGATGAAATGTGATGTGACTAGATATGTAAATGAGACTATCAAAGGGTACATCTCTGGCTGAAATCAAAAGATGTGTTACAAGAGAAAAGCCGAGTGTTTTTAAACTTCATAATTAGAAATCAGTTCAAAATAATAGCAATTTAAAGTTCAGAAGTCAGAACTACAAAGAACAGAAACATAAATATCTAAAAGTTGTAAAAAAAGAAATAATATTCATCGAATGCAGATTCACTTTACCGTAGACTGCTGAGCGTTGAATATATTTGAATGATCAAAGAACTGGAGATTTTGAAACAAGAAATTTCAAAAGAACTAATTACTAAGCTTTCGTAGCTCGGTTTTTGGGCACTGATGGCATTCATGGAAATCATGAAGTCTTTCTACCATCCATAGTTAGGATATTATTAAGTGACCAACTGAAAAGGAATTTCGATTTAAATACGGAGATGTTTCGTCTTTATGTTAGAACAGGTTAAAAATATTAACCAACGTCAATTTTATATACGATACAAAAGTTATTCTTCACCCAAAACATCATCTGGAGAGTATAAGCGGCTCAAAGCCGACGGAGGCTTAGCATTGTTTTGTAAAGAGGTCTGGCAACCACGATACACAACTATCAATCCAGTTGTCGTATCGATCCCGCATCGTCCTAACAGTGCTCCATTCACGAGAACATCGAAACCAGAGAAAGTTTCTAACATTCGCCGAACATAGCCTATTTTGAGTTAGAAAACGTTTCGAAATGATGATTTCCGATCAATAAAGATCCTTACTGGTAAATCGTGAAAAACTAATTTTCAAAACAGAATCCGATATCTCGTCGCTCTGAGGTCGAAGAAGATGCAGGTTCGGAAACGATCTGATAGTTAATTATGATCAATTTTGAGTCAGGATTTTATAGCCGCATACAGCGCAATTTCGGTCAGTTGCCATATTTGAATCATTTTTCGCACGTGTTTTTGCCCTATGAGTCGAAAAGAAAGGAATGTTTGGTAGAAAAAACAAAGAAACTATGAGTCTTACCGATGTTGATCACGATCACGTTCTAATCTAGTATTTCGCTCCGCATCAGTCTCGCGCGCTCGTAAGTTGTGTCGGCGGTTCATTTCTTTAGCATGTTTGGCTGTAAGACGTTCTTCTCTCTCCTTTGCGTTTTTTTTGCACGTTTATCGGCTAGATGTTTCACTTCGTATTGGTAACGTGATATAAGATGCGTTTGCTTCTCTTCGACTGTTTTTTTGACACCAAAATCGATCAATCGCTGTTTTCTGTATTGTCTGTCAATAGCCAGGCGACTTTCTTTTTGTTCAGCAGTCTCAACGAGAGCACGACGAGCACGAAAAGCTCGC